TGGGGAACGCGGCCGGGGGGAAAAGGCGGGGGGCCCCCCTTCGGTGGGGGGGGGTTTTTTTTTTTTTTTGCTGTTGTTGTTTGGAGGGGGGGGGGGGGGGGGGCTTCTGTGGTGCGCCGGTGCCGGTGAAAATTGTTTGTTGTTGTTGTTGTTGTTGTTGTTGTGGTATTATGGTGCGTTAGCGACAAGATCTACGACAGTTGTTGCTTTGACTGTACAGTACAGTACGATATAGCTAACCCCGAGAGGCGTTGTGAGCACCGTACGGTAGTAGCCCCCTTCTTGCATTCATTTGCTCCTTTTCCACGACGATGACAACGACAGCATGCTCTGGCGCCTAATGCAATGCAGCAGTAGTATAGTAGTTCGGTGACTGCCCCGTGACTCTGAAATGCGTGCATCACTGATCCACTCTTGCTTGATTGTGCATCCATCCCTTCCATCTGTCGAACAGCCAGCCGTCTGACCTTACTTGTTTCTCGCTCTGCGTGGCCCCATGTTGTTGCAATGCACTCCTCCTCAGCCACCCATCCACCCCAAGTCGAAGGAGGGGCTTGTCTTCCTCGGACTGATGGCTCTCATCGACCCCCCCCGTGAGGCCGTGCCCGGTGCCGTCGGCAAGTGCAAGACCGCCGGAATCAAGGTGCGAATGACAGAGCACCCCCCTTCCGCAGGCAGTGCGTTTTTTTTTGCGTTCCTCTCTCCGCATTATTTCATTCAATGAGAAATGAATAATGGTGATGGGATAGTTTTGTTTGTGGAGCAGCAGTTGCATCTTGTAGGAGAGCAACGTTTTTTTTTTGTGGCGTTCGTTGTTCGTTGTCTATCAAGGTGGAAGAAGACGTTGTCGAAAGTTTGTTGCCGCTGCTTTTAGCGGGGTTTGGTTTTCGCATGTACTGTATAACGACCTATACCCGTCTCAAGCATGTAGTGTGACTCGTGCGATTGTTTTTGTTTGGATAGACATCCCAAATCACCGCTGTGCTGTGCTGTGCCTCTTTTTGACACATTTGTCCTCCCCCCCCGCCCTCTACCCTACCCTTCAATTTCACCACGACCTTGCTGCTGCTGCTGCTGTTGTTGTTGTTGTTGTGATGCAGGTGATCATGGTCACCGGTGACCACCCCATCACTGCCCAGGCCATCGCCTACAAGGTTGGCATCCTCTGGTCCAAGACCCGCGGCGAGATCGAGGCCTCCAACAAGCGCTACAGCCTCGAGCCCGGTGCGAACAACACTCGTGCAGCTGCTGCTGCTACTGCTGCTGCTGCTGTTCGTATTTGTTACCTTTGATAATTGGCATGGTGCTGCTGGTATTTTGTTCTTTGGTAGATGCCCAGGTCGTACATAGCCGATTGCGGGTTCTGTTGGTCGTGGTGGTGCTTTGAGGTGTCTTATTGCTGTTCTTATTTTCCATATGTCAGCGATGACGTGTCTACGTGTCTACAGTACAAGGGCGATGATTCTTGGATTCAAAGAAAGTCCCCCACCCCCACCCCCACGCCAAGAAGGAACGGTTTGACCATGTGGGAGAAATGCTCCGTCCTCTCGAGGACGCGTGGTCACTAGTGTAACGACCACGGCATGCACGGCGATGAATACCTTCTCCATTTTTTTCTTTCTTTCAAGCCTCGCGACAATTTGTGAAACCGCGTCTTCCCCTCCGCCGCCGCCACCTTGCCTTGTTGATCCCTTGCTGAACATCCCAACATAACAGGAGACGCGAACTTCGAAGACCCCGAGAACGCTCAGGCTATCGTCGTGCCCGGGTGGGAGATCTCTCCCGAGATGGAGCAAGACAAGTGGGACGCCATTCTGGAGCACCCGCAGATCGTATTCGCTCGTACCTCGCCTCAGCAGAAGCTCGTCATCGTCGAGAACAACCAGGTTTGTTGGTTCCGTTATTTGTCGGCGCTTCTCTGCTGGCTCTCTTATCTCTTGTTTTCGCGAGCGGGTGTGTGTGTGATGGTATTCTCAGTTTGCTATAATAATCTCAGATGTCATTCTTGTGTGTGTGTGTTGTGTGGTTTGTGTGGTCTGGTTGCGATTATTTTTTGCATTGACCGCGCTAACGGGCTGTGTGTGTGTTTGATGTGTCTTTTCTTTTTTTTCGCACGTGGTACGCATAGCACGTTGTTGCTGTTGTTGCTGTTGTTGTTGTTGGCATCTCTTCCCAACTTCGTCTTTCGGGCATTCTCCGTGCACATTGGTTGGACTTGATTGTTTGAGGACCGTTATCATTTTTACCTGGAGTTGAATCCCCCCCCCCCCCCCCCCCCCC